AATATTTTAGTAGTAGTTAAAAGCTTTTTTTTTAGTAGGTATGTATTTTAGTGGGGTGTTGCATTGGGTGAACTGTTGCACGCACTGACCACATCCAGTAGGCTACCTCAGATTGAAGCATCTCGTGTCAGACGGGCCGTGATAGACGTTGCTCAGATGCAATTCGTGAATACGAGTGATGCGATCTCGGTTAGTCAGCCTTGCGTAGAAACTACTCAGCATCAGAGCAGTATTCTGCTCTTGCTACGCCTTGAGACATAGCCATAAATATTATCCTAGGCGACTCGAGCTTAACAGCACGAGAAAAGAGTAATCACATCTGCCCAGCTACAACTCCGGCGAAATCACATGGACTGCAGGTGTCTTCGTATATCAAAACAGAAGACGTCGAATTAAGATTGTTAGTCGCAATCAACGCATCAAGTATATATGCAGGGTTGAAATACTCAAAGAAGCTTGGTCCAATCAGCAAGACGGAAAGGAAACAAAACCCGTTGCGAACACGAAGCCATAGAGTGGGTCAAGACAAGTCGGTAGTAGTTCTAGCCAGCTCTCCATCTACACCTTCACCAAGCGAGTCTGGATTGGAGTAAACATGTTTCAACGCACGAGAGTGGGCCCATTGCTCGGGATCGAGGTCACTTCACCGTCCCGCAACTACCGAACCCTGTGAAGAGAGAAGACTTCTAAATTTAAAAGCCTGGGAGAGCTTGTGATATTGATAAAATAATTCATTATACACAGAGTACTCAAAGTCGCTTTACGAGCAAGGGTTATATCATGGAGGGCTTGCATGCGGAGAAACTCCTGCTAATATCGGTGTTCAACAATCATTTAAGAAGCTGTAAGTGAAACACCCCCCAGCATACTAGGGTTGCGTATAGTTGTGCTTACAACGTCTTTCAGGCGGTTACGATACTCATTCAAGCACCGACGCGTTAGTAGCGCGGTATTTTTCCTGTGGTCGAAGAACGGCATTCACAACGGAACTACCACGGTAGCGAAGAAAAGACCATGTGGAGGCGCATTGTCAGATGATGCAACGCGGGTGACGATATGCTGGGGTTGTGCTGACCCCCGCACCAAATTCCGGGCCGTTGCCTTGGCGGATGCGACATCAGAGCGAGCTTTCCGAGAAGTCGTAAACTGCGTCTGCAGTGCAGGAGATACTCAAAGAATTAATGGCATTAACACTCTATATCTTGTTCGATATTAAGGTACGTAGGGGTTCCTGCATCGACGTGCGGCCAATCCCGCACCCCCGTTGCGCCTAGAGGGATCAGTTTCATCTATTTTGCTAGGTCCTCGTGACGGCCCTCTCCCCACTCTTGCGTCCATCGCATATCAGATAGGATCAATTCACATGCAGTTCTACTTTCAGCTACCGGGAATCTGCATCTGTGCTGTCCTTCTGCTTACCCTCCAATACTCCCAAGAGAGAGCTACTGCTCTGAAGGGTATCACTGTCCGATCCGTCCTCTTCCATTGCGCCTGAGAAACAGGAAAATCGGGAACGCTTCCGGTCCTTGGAACATTGAACAACCAGGAACATGACTCTAGAAGTTTGGAAAACAGCTAGACGTGAAGAGCAGATCGTCCCCGGCCCATGTGTGTGGTACTGGAATCTTGCCGAATCAGGAAAAACATGAAAGCCATCATGTCAGCACGGTCGTAGAATTGTGGGGTATCTTTCTGGAACTTGAGCGCATTTAGAACAACGCCCGGTAGTCGGGAGAACACGACGGCAGATATCCAGGATATTAGCTATTGTTTCCCAGGCCGTTGTTCAAGCGGAGACTAATTCGCCGATGCAGGTAATACAAGTGGGTTAGCGACGCGACGTGTGATTGGCGACTCATATTAAATTCTCCGTCCAGGACCTGCTCACATGAGTAGTTGACGCCCCCATGAGGCTGGTGATAGAACTTGTTCGAGCGGTGGCTTCTGGAGACGCCGTCGGAATCTAGGGAAGCATCGCGACTGATGGAGGACTGAATTATATGAGGACCCACTGAATTTTTCCCCACCGTCTAAAGTCATGATCCTAGACCATGTGGAGTCGTGAAGGTAATTATGGAGAAGTACAAAAGGTCGAGGATACGCACAGGGAAAACAGCACGCATCACAACAGACAATCTTTCCAAGCCAATCAACCGTCGACCATAAATCGCCCACCATGAAGGTTGTATCATTCATTCTCAGTGCTCTGGCCTCCCTCTCGGCCGCTCAGCAAGCCACCCTCTGCAAGGACTTCGAGTACTACTCCAGCAACGGCTACGAGCTCAACAACAACATCTGGGGCCGCAGCTCAGCCACCTCTGGATCTCAATGCACCTATGTCAACAGCGTGAGCTCGACTGGCGCCAAGTGGACCTCCAACTGGCAGTGGCAGGGTGGCCGTGACAACGTCAAGAGCTACGTCTACTCTGGCCGTCAAATCACCAAGAAGCCCGTCAGCCAGTACAACAACCTCGAGACCGAGGCCTACTGGGTCTACGACACCTCCAACATCCGCTGCAATGTTGCCTACGATCTCTTCACCTCTGCCAACGTCAACCACCCCACCAGCAGCGGTGACTACGAGCTCATGGTCTGGTATGTCTTGCATTATCCAAAAAAATCTGTTTCTCCACTATGACATATACTAACGTTTGGGACAATTATAGGCTCGGCAGGTACGATGTGTACCCCATTGGATCCTCGCAAGGGATGGTCAACGTCGCCGGCCGCCAATGGGAACTCTTCTACGGTCTCAACGGCAACATGAAGGTCTACAGCTTCGTTACTCCTTCGGGCCCCATCTACAACTTCAAGGCCAGCATGAAGGACTTCTTCCAGTACCTCGCCAACAACAAGGGTTTCCCTATTACCAGCCAGAACCTCATTAGTAAGTTTATTTCAAGTGACAGGTTGGCGATGATGCAAGATGCTAACACCCATGATAGCCTACCAGTTCGGTACCGAGGCCTTCACTGGTGGCCCCGCCAAGTTCACTGTCAACCAGTGGTCCGCCAACGCTTATTAAATCAGAAACGAAAACACCAACTAAGGTCTTTTTTTTATTTTCCCGCACGGAAAATGCGCCCTTTTTGGTTTGAATCTTTCTGATCAAGCGACACCCAAACGACTATAACCAACTAAACAAAAATTCATACGAGCGGTACTAACGATGGAAACGGTTTACATATTCGAGATGTCTTGAGATGTGTGTGTGTGTGTGTGTGTGTGTGTGTGTGTGTGTTTCTGTTTAATTTTCAACTGTATATATCCAACCTTTACCTTCTTCAAAACCCCCTTCAATTAAACAAAGTCGATGATTGCGCCTTTGCCCTTATCCCAACCATGCATGCTTGTTGTATCACAAACAATCAAACCACCGTTGACTTGCCCTCCCCCCCCTTTCCCAGCCACCCATCCGCCACACACACACACACACACATAATAAAACCTCCGACAATCCTTTCCGCCTTATCCACCTCCGACTTCCAGTATTCCATAAGTGACGCGACACTCTTGCTCCCCATTCGCCACATCCCTCCCAGCCAGTAAATCTCGCTTACTGTAAGAGAAGCCATGGCAGCCCCGCTATTGGCTCGACGCAACGAGGTACGTGCGCACACCCCTCCGACGCTACTACGAGTGCCGAACGAGCGAGCGAGCGAGGTGCCGGGCTGGCGTGTTGTGTATGGATGAGCCAGTTAATGGGCTGAAGCGATATGCGGGTTGGGGATTTGCTGGCGGATGAAGGAAGTGTTTCATGTTTTTGTGTAGTAGTATGGACCCCTTTTTTCGGTTGTTTGGCTTTTTTGGGGATGGGGGGACGGGGCGGATGTAGGTAGGTTGGGGGGTTGATTGGGGAGTTGCGTATTTGACGGTTGTGGATAGGATGGTTGTGGACGGGAGGGAAAGGAGAGAGTAGGGTAGGGATGTGTTGTGGTATTTACAAGTGTAAGTAGTATGGATTCTTTTGTTTTTGATGTTCCTACTACTACTTACTCATTTTTGTCACTATTTCCTCTTTTCCCCTTCCCTTGTTCCCTTATTTTTCTCTTTCTAGAATAGACCTAGACGGCACGTCACTCCCTTGCTATTTGGCCATCTAAACGAGATTCTTTCCTCTTTTGTTTCTATTTTCACCTTCGTCATCTTCAGCACCTCGTGGTTTTTCTCTTCTTGTCTCTCACGCGGACGGGGCACATGGAGAAGTTGCGATAACAGGTGACCGCGAGGAAACTACTAGGCTAGCAACAAGACGTCACTCGGAACTTTTTTTCTCTTACACTTGTACTATTATTTGTACAACACAAACGAGCTCTCGGATACATTCTTCTTCTACTGTTCGGCAAAACAAACGATTTCGGATTACAAAGGACAACTCGGCTGGCTACACTTTGCTTGTTACACGTTCCACGAGCGCGACTAAACAACACGCCATTTTCTCGACTCCCACTACCACCTCGCTGACACAATTATATTTTCGACTCTCGACCTGGACCAAAGGGGGGAAAAAAGGAGGAACGCAACAACTCGCACCACTGCCATCGAATCTCGAATTCAATCCACACACCATCACCAAGCATGCTCTTCCTACCAACCCTCCTCCTCACCTCCACCACCACCACCACCACAACCCTCGCCTCCCCCTTACCCTTCTCAAACTCCTGCACCCCCACCAACCTCCTCCAAAATCCCTCCTTCGAATCCTCCCCCCAGGACCTCTCCCCCTGGCTCTCCCTAGCCACAGGCTCCTTCTCCACCCGCAGCCTCACACGCGACAACCCAGGCGGCCACAACAGCGCAACCGCGTACATCGCCTCATGTAACAGCAGCGCGGATATCTTGTCTACGCTTACGCTGTCACAGTCGTATATTGAAGTGGCGGGTGGAAAGGAGGTGGAGTGTTATGCGTGGGTTAGGGCGGGAAAGGGGGGGAAGGGGAGGGCGAGGGTCGAGGTTTTTCTTGATGGGGGGAGTTGTGGGGGTGGGGTTGAGGTTGGGGAGGGACAGGAAGAGGAGGAGTGGGTGAAGGTTGGGGGGAGGGTGGTTGTGCAGGATGTGGGAGCGGGGGGTGTGGGACATACGGTTGCGGTTACGGTGCAGGGGTATGGGGCTGAGGGGGATGAAGGGTGGAGTATTGCGATTGATGATGTTGGGGTTGTTGTTGGATGCTGATGTTGTTGTTGTTGTTTTTTTGTCAGAAGAACTGGGACTATGGATATCAGGGACGCGACCACCGGAGGAGAAAGGAGTACGGTGCTAAGGATACGGAGGCCAAGTGATACTAATCGAATAGTAATAGACACCAGCACATGGTATACAAACCATGCTAATAGATATTTCTTATATCCTTCACTGGGATTCCAATTTCCAACCGAAACTTTAATATCAGCATGACTCCATAAGTTTTGTAGGTGATTGTTGCGTGTGGACTTGAATGTTGCTTTGGATATCTTTTTTTTTCAAAATGAGCATCCCCGACTGAAAGGGTATGGAGACAATAAAGCCTATCTTAGGCAGGCAGTCTAGAAATCTATTCGTAAATAATCGTGACAAAAAGACACATGATTGCGAGGCCCCCTTGGTAAGTATAGAATAGATGTGTAACGCCATCAACAAAACCATGCTCCTCTCTAACCAACAAAGAGCGTTCCCAGTATGTGAGGTAATACACCAAACGAGGGTGGCATGTTTCGTACGCGATCGAGGTGGCGGACGTGGTATTCAAAGTCTAGTTCGCGCCCGTCATCCACAAATGCAAATTGGTATAGGAAATAGCGCTTAGAAAGCACCATATTCTTGATTTGGCGGGAGGTCATAATTTTCCTCGTGGAGACCTTTGAGTGCCTCCTCACCATCTTTGGTAAGGTCCGGTTTGCCAACAGGCGTGACGGCTCCGGTGAAGAATCGCGGCTGCCACTCCTTGTCGGCTGCCTTGCGCTCTGCAGCCTTTTGCCGTTGCTTCTCTTCAATCTCGGTCTTCAAGGTAGTAGCCACACTGTATTGCCTGCCTACTATGGCGTTTGTGACACCTTCCCAGAATTTGAGAGACTCATTAGGAAGTTGCTTCTCAATCGGTGGTACAATCTTGGCGACGGGGTCGAGTGGGTTGAGGTCGATGATGAGGTTCTTCTCCTGATCAAATGTTAAGAGCTGGCAGCCAAATCCCTATTCAGTGTACTTACGGAGACCTTGGCAAAGGGCTTGCTTCCGAGAGTGTAATAAACCTTGTCTTGCCAGCTACCCTCTATCCGGCCAAGAACATCTTTGTCTGAAACATCTTTGATCTTTGTTATGGTGTCGTTGTTTGGGTCATATTTGAAGATGACTCCCATGACCTTATTTTGGGACCGGCCGAGCCAGCCTTCTTCCTGGTACTCTAGGATAACCTTCAATCCGGTCTTTGGGCAGGTGATGAAGCAGCTGTCAGCGACGGAAACGTTCAAGGAGCCTGTTCGTCCGGTCAGTCGGTCGGCGCCAATTCTAACAGCGAGCACATACCTCGTAGGATACCTCCCAGGTAAGCCGCTGGATGGGTGAGTTGGTATTCCTCGTTGTCACGGTTCTTCAGGGTGATGAAGATTCCCAAGTTGTGAGCCCCAGCTGCAACACGCACGCTCGTACCAGTAAACTTTGCGCTTATCTGATCATATCCTCGTGCACTGATTCCCTTTTCCGGGCAATCGACATAGAAAGCTGAAACCGGGGGGTGATGTGATGTCTGTTCGGTAAGGTAGGAGACGGTCACCTTCTTGCCACTGCCTTTGGTGCTACTGGCAGCGCTGGTGGGAGCCGAGTTGGGCGTCTTGAGCGTGGGATGCGTGTCTTCGATTTGCCAGTTACACTGCAAGTGTTAGCAAGCAGCTTCATCCAAAGCTATTCCAGCCACATACCCTGAAGAACTCGCCCAAGGTGGAGTTGTAGGGCTTGCATGGCTTGCCTTTGACGTATTTCTGCGCCAGTGTCAGCTATGTCATCGGGATTTGTAGGTGCAGCATACCAGGTCCTTGGTGAACCAGAAGCGCAGGCATCCCAGCATGCGGCCGAGATCGTCATCTGAGTCTCCGATGCTGCACGAGTTAGTGTTTTCTCTTGAAAGGAGCATGTAAGCTGCACTGACCTGATGAATGTGTCGGGTCTGTCCAAGTAGTGCCAGTACTCTGTTATCCCATCAGATCATGTGTATCGCGGCCAGGTATCTAGTCTACATACCCAAGTTTGGTCGGGGCTCGAGGAGTTGTGCGGGAAGAGAGAATCGGACGGCAGCGAGGTCGGAGACGCCAATGAACCTACAAGCAGCACACAGTCAGTCTTCTGAGGGAGCACAGCGACCAAGCGGTGCAACGTTACCTCCTCAATATGCCCAAGAACGTCTTGAACTTGGAGCTGTCATCGGGAGCCTTTTCGGCGGCGGCATTTGAAGGAGTAGGCGCTCGGGAATTGTCACCGGAGTTGAGGGTAGACGCGGGTGCCGAGGCCGACTGGGCCTTCTCAGGGGCGAGGTCCGCCATGGCAGTTTGGCGTATATATGGATGTGTGGTCGTCAAGATGGGTGGTGTCGGGCGGGGATAGAGGCCAGAGCAGTATTGCGGAGAAGGGTCGGGATGTGGTTGGGGGTTTGGTGTTGAGGCGGTGCGCTTTTGCAATGTTCTTAGTGTTAGCGCGCGCGCGGAGGAACTGACTGACGTAGCGCAGCCGATAGCCTTGAACCTTGCTGCAGCGGGGTAGGGGCCTAGCCACCCGTGGAGAAGACGCCACTTGCCCTCTGTGCACTACACTTGCACCCTCACGCCCTCTCTACCCACTCGTGCCTATACAGACGTCCATACTACAACTCACACCAACACCATCGTGCTCGCATCCACGGCCTGAACAAGCGCTTTGGTCACACGGTTGCCGTTCCGCTTTGCAGCGCTTGGCGCGCCGTTATCGTCCATCATGCGGTCTGCGGCAAGACGAAACATGCAATAGGGTCATGCACTGTCAGATCGTGCACCCCTTGATTGGATCTACACTCGCCCTCCACCGCCCCCTACCATGTTTCACCGCACTGTGGCGTCTTCAGAGTTCCATGAGGCGTGTGAGAGCTCGCCACACGCGTTTCCCACCCATATCCGCTACTCTTCAAGTGATAACGTATCCTGACCTTGAACCTGCCCACACGGGGCTAATGTCTGACCAAAGAGATCGGCAATGCAGACGGTCATCCATCCAACTAGCAGCCAGCACCAGCCGCCCTCGTAAAAAGTCTCGTCAATCGTCCCAGTCTCGCCAAACCCCAATTTCACACGCCTGAGGAGTGTTGACATACATCTCCACGTCGTACCACTCCTCCACCGGTCCGCTAGGGCCCGACAATCTGTCCAGCACAAGCCACACATCCCCCTGCCTACAGTCCATCGGATCAATGTCGACGCTCTCGGACCGAACCGTGGCTGAGTCTGCATACTCCCCCTGTTCGCTAGCAATGATGATTCTGCGCTCGGGACCCCGTCCCAGTTCAACACTGAGCCGCAGCGGGCTGCGCGCTAGCTTGCCCAGATCCATTGCCCGAGGGCTTGTTGCCTTCAAGAACCGCGCAATAATTGTATATGATGCCAACCGATGCAAACGAAGTGGTGCAGCCACCTTGTGTACATGTGCACCAAAACATGCTGGAGCAAGCTTCATCGAGAGCAGCCCTGCCCCGTCCCGCGCTATCGGCGTTAACCCCACCTGGCTGCTACTGTCCACTCGCAGTGTATAGTCCCCGGTCAGTCCCGCTTCGAATAGCGAACATATGATGGTATAGTATCCCGGCTGAAGATCTTTGATCTGGGCAAAAACACATCCACTGCGGTGGTTGCCCGAGTCTGCCAGCACATCCCGGCTTTGTAGTCGATACAGCCTTTTCCCGTGTCCAAATGCAAGCTTGACGTGTAAAGGATGTTCGTGATTTGTACTCGTCAGTAGAATCGCTAGCGAACCGCGTTCCCGCACGTGAAGTGAGTATTGGGGATTGTCAAAGTAGTTGGGCGAGTCTGTGCTGCCGCCTGCCGTCTGTCTTGTCCAAGCTCCGGTTTGAATCTCTTGCAACGGAAGTCGTTTTGTCGCTGGCTCAAGTGTCATGGGCGTATTGGCAAATGCCGATAGCGAAAATGTGTACTTTGACCGAGGCAAGTCGTCCTGGTCAATCACTACCGTGTACGTCGTGTTGGCATCCATATCGCTGCGGAGGAGGCATTGAGGTGTCGTCACGTAGTCGCTCGATTCTAGGTACGTGTCCTTGATGTAAATCCGCTCTCCGTGTCCAGTACAGATATAGATGCTCATGTAACCCTTTGGCGCCTCTCCGCTGCCACCAAACTGAGTGTCATTACGAACGCTCCCATCGTTAAATACGTCCGAATCTTCCTTTGTGGTTTCTTGTGCATCCCGGAAATGACGGCTCAAAAGAAGCCAGACGGGCCCGGCACCTTTGGATGTAAATGCAAATTGTGGATTGTTGACTATGCATCCGGCTGGTGTTGACGCATTGATGTCCCACTCGAAATGGATATCTTGACGATAACGAAAAAGTCCAGGATTCCAGTTGAGATATAAACTCTCAAAATGCTGTATGACCTGCTCAAGCCCTATCCAGAACGTTGTTGGGTGAGGCCGATCTTGTGTTGGGACGCTGTCTCTGTGGTAGACCTCCACACTGGTATTGGGCTCTCCAGCAGTAGAATTGTCCATGGCAGCTACGGCACATGGGCGAGGTCCACGCCAACCCTTGCCTTCAATCCATGGATTCTTGACGAGCAACAGACGGTCGTGCTCCGTCTCCTTCATGTCGAGTATGACATAGCTGTGTTGGCCCTCGAGTCCAAATTCACGCTCTTGCTTAGTTGACATTTTGCCTGTGCCTGCAGTGACCAAAACGTCTCCATACATGAAAGCGTTGTAGATGCGCTTCCATAACTGATCAGGCACTGTGTCCGTCCTGCAAATCCGTTAGCGTACCTCGGAGCGAGCCTAAGAAAACATATAGCATACTCTTGTAGGAAGACTTGTTCCGGAATCCACCCAGTCATTGCCCATAGGTCACCACACGAGTTACTACCGGGGAAGTCGTAACCACCACGGACTTTGAGATAGGCCTTCTCGAGTAATGCTGGCCACAACAAGGCTGGGTTACGACGGTCGATGACGTGGAGTACCCGGTGAGTTTTTGAAACAGGCAGTCGGTCGTCGATGACAACTTTCCTCCAACAACCGTTGAAGTTGAGTCGCACAACATATTTGCCATTTGACGATGGCACTGGTTTTCCACGCTGTTTATCAAATGGGTATAGCTTGTTGGTGAGAATCTGTAATGGTCAATATCAAACCTGCCCTGGGTCTAGAAGACGAACCTGTTCATGCCCACGCTCTGAGCGAGCAATACCAGCACATAGACTTGTGACCACCGAACAATCCGAAGCTGCATCCTGTACGAGATCCAGAGGTTTCGAGCTAGACATTAAAGGTCCGGCGCCATTGGTGCTATCGGAGGATAATGAAGGCGGTGGTATAGCTTCTTTTGCCCGCAGCCAGTCCAAGAAGAATTGCTGTTGGTATGGAGAAAGACTGAGATCACCCATGTCAATAAAACCCCCGTCTCCATGAAGTGAAGTGAACTCGTCCGCGGATGGCTCCTTGGTCCAGGGCGGAAATTTGTAGCCGTTAACCATAGAGGCCTTTAGTAAGATGATTTCCTCCCTCTTAGAGAGTTGCCTGCTTGACATGGGCTCGCGCAATCTATATATCTGGGGATGGGAAGCTGCCGCTCGTGAGGGAGAAGCTTCACTCATATTGGGCAGTGGCGAGTGAGAAAGTGTGCTGACAGGATAGGGTTGCGAGGACGACTTTAGACTTGGGTTAGATACAGTGTCGATATCAAGGGCGTTAGTGGGTTTGGTATTAGGGCTGTTTTGGTAGGACGCATCGGGCGTTGAGGCAGAGGAAAGGCCATGACGAGAAGAGCTTGACTTTGTGATAGTGTCTTGGAAAGTCGATGATGAATCTGCTGCTACTGCGACTTGCGTGGCCCACTGTCCAATGTGGTGGCTTTTGGAGTTAGTTGGCTGTGGCTTCGCAGATTGTGTCCACATTCCAGTCTTCTTGATGCGGTCGGCAACATTCATTATTTCGCCACATTGTGCTTTGAGCAGCTTCTTCTCATCTTGGTTTGACGTCAACTTGAGCGCTTTCATGAGATTCTCAGCTGCGCTAATGGCCAAAGTGAGAGCCTCATCTTTGGTAGCAGCCGTATCCAGTTGAGAGCGGTAGTTCTAGAGAGCCGCACATCAGTAAGCGGTGCTGTTCAAGGGTCACTATTGTAGTGGGAGGGCTGGCTGCGATATCACATACGCTTGCAGCAGCTTTGCAAGCCTCGAGCTGAGTGGCGCGGTCTGCCATGATAAAAAGCACAAACGCAGCAACGGAGCAGGGATTTGATCAATACGGCACGGAGAATACGAGACTACCTGTAGTGGGTCATGCCGATAAAGTCACCGGGGGTTGAGGTCAGAGGTAAGCCAGAAATGGTGATGGTGTTGTGGTGTTGTTGCCCGGAGAGTTACAAGGTTTAGCGCGACGCACGCTCCTGCCCGAGCAAAGTCGCGACTGCCATGTGAGCCAGACACAAACAATTGGGGGCAGGCAGTAGACCGTGTCTTTTTTCTTTCTTTCTCAATCTCTAAAACGATTCAATTTTTTTATACTGTTCTAGTTATGGCGTCTGGACTTATCAACTCCAGGCCCAATAAGAAGTCATGCTGTAGACGCCTCTGGTGTGTCGTCATACATGGGCCCGAAACTGAACCTCGGCCTCTGGGACCTCGGGAGAGGTCAGCCATGCCTGCGACCGCGCTATCACGTTGCGGAGCGTCACAATCGTCCCTTGCCCACTTTTTCTACACCTCCGATGCTGCCATCTTGAACCTTTACTTGGCTTGCTTGCTCTACCATGAGATAGCTGCAACTACACTCCAACAACACCGTCACTCCTCATAGCCGATTGCGTGCTCTGTCCCTCAGCGCAGTGCTCGAGCCGTCTCTCCGATAACCGCTTCCCACAATCGCTACCATGGGCGGACAGTCCAAAGTAGAGACCCTGCCGCCATGGGGTAATGCTGTTGCCGGCGCTGCTGGCGCAGTCATTGCAAACACTCTTGTCTACCCATTGGATTTGTGCGTATCTCCGCCAACGTGCCCTCTTGCTCACTTGAGGCACACGCTAACGGATTCCCCAGGATCAAGACGCGGTTACAAGTCCAGGTCAAGCGCTCTCCCACCGCAGACGCCACCAATCCTGCTGATGACGAGCACTACGATAGTGCGCTCGATGCGATACGAAAAGTCTTTGCCCAGGAGGGCTTGTCGGGTCTGTATGCCGGCATGGGAGGTGCGCTGCTCGGCGTAGCCTCCACAAACTTTGCCTACTTTTACTGGTACACGATTGTCCGCACTCTCTACATGTCCAACCGCGCACTGCAAACGCCGCCCGGTACTGCTGTCGAGCTTTCGCTAGGAGCCGTTGCTGGCGCCCTCGCCCAGCTGTTCACTATCCCCGTTGCGGTAGTGACAACGAGGCAGCAGACCATGAGCAAGGCAGAGCGCAAGGGCATGATTGCCACTGCCATGGACGTAGTCAATGGTGAAGACGGTTGGACCGGCCTCTGGCGAGGCCTGAGGGCGAGTTTGGTTCTGGTCATCAACCCCTCCATCACGTATGGTGCCTATCAACGGCTGCGCGAGGTTCTGTACCCAGGAAAGAAGAACCTGAAGCCCATGGAGGCCTTTCGTAAGTTACTCTCTCGACACTGGGCTTCTGTTTTTATGCACTGTGAACAAGGAAAACTAACACGCAACAGTCCTCGGCTCGCTTTCCAAAATGCTCGCAACAATCGCGACACAACCCCTCATTGTCGCAAAAGTCGGCCTGCAGTCAAAACCACCGCCATCCAGGAACGGCAAGCCCTTCAAGTCCTTTACGGAAGTCATGCAATATATTATCGAGCACGAAGGCGCCACGGCGCTATTCAAGGGCATCGGACCCCAGATTCTCAAGGGCCTTCTTGTCCAGGGTTTCCTCATGATGACCAAGGAGCGCATCGAACTTTCTTTCATTCTACTTTTCCGTTACTTCAGACAGGTGCGCGCCCAGAAGCTGCAGAAACTGGCAAATCTAGCGGCCGAGAAGGCGGGTCAGGCAGCTCCTATCCTTGTCAAGTAAAGAGAGAGAGAGAAAGAGCTCTTTATGTCCCGTTGTTGAGAGGTTTACGCAATCATTTCAGGTGTATATATACCCTGGTTTGGCCCTAGTCTTTTTTTTGGTTCTGAATGTGCCGCGTTGCGATGGCGTTTAGATTTGTTGTTTAAGCATATTACGGATTTTATATGTTGTTAGCGGTATAGATCCAATAAACGTCTTTTTTCTTCTTTGGAGATTTTGCACGTGTTTAAACATTTGCTTTGTGAATGTCGTTTTGATAAATAGATGCACATGCGGCTTGCATTCTTTCAACAGCGTAGACGTGAAAGAAAGCTTAGATTGAACATCACTCTTTACCATCAATAACTTATTCCTCCTCTCGCTTAGCCGGCTCGGACTAGAATTGTAGAGGTAATACCGAGAGCGAATTTTTTTTTGATCTGAGACCTCTCAGTGAAGACAATCTGACTTGGCTTTTTTTTTGTTCGTCCTGCACGATGAGTCTGCTGAAATGTGTGTGTGTGTGTGTGTGTGTTTAGCAAATCTTCTTAGTACCAGTAAGCCATCTCTCTCTCTCTCTTTCTCACATACAGCAAAGATTCATCTTTTTTTTTACGCAAAATATCGACACAAACTACAGCCAAGATGGACAGATATCGAATCTACATGATTCTCTCGATTCCTCCCCTGGTCCCAGTGTTAATTGTAACCAATACGTCGAGATCCCCAGGCTATTATAAGTCCCAACGTATAAGAACGTTGGGTTAATGCAGTATGGGCGTAGGCCCATGGCACGACAGGATCGATATAAAAAATCTGCAAGTTAGTTTGAGTAGAATGCTATTCGGTGTTGTAAAGCAGAGTTGTGTAGAGGTCTATTGAGGTGGTGAGATTAAGATGATATCTTGCTTTTTGACCCCCCCCCC